TAGGTATAATGATGATTAGAAAATCAGATTTTTTTATTTTTAAATAAGTATTTTTGAAACCGTATTCTGGAAGCTGAAATTTTTACATTTTCGAAGATCTTTGTTCAAATGCATTTGAGAGGTCTTTCACATTTTTCGGAAAATCCATTTTCCCTTGGTGAAAATAGGCTTCAAGAATTTGGGGGATCAAATTTCAGAATCAAACTCATTTTGAAAGAACTTTGTGAAAATTTAGATGAGACTTGCTGCAGACGACGGAATTAACATGGATGGAAAATGTTAATTTCAACTTTTAATGCCGATTTCGATTCAGACAGATTTTCAACTAATTTTGTTTTTTGCATAATAAGCCGGACAGGAAAAGTTTAGAAATTTGACGTCTCAAATGTAAAGCAAAAGACTTTGACCAAGCAAGGAAGACCGAGAAATGGCAGCTAGCTTGTGTATATTAGAGTAATAATTTTTGAATGGAGTCGATAGCAGTTGAATTTATGTGCATATAACCAGGAAACATAATATTATTCAGAAATGAGCAATTGTAAAAAACTTTAATAAAATATTCTCATATATGACAGAAAAAAATGTTTGCTAGAAACCCTAGATAAGTTGCACTATTCCATTTAATTTGTCAATTCCTAAAATAAGCCTTACTATATAAGAAGTGTATCGAACACATAAACAAGGCTTGTTACATAAATTGGTTGCTATGTAAATGTACTGCAGTCCAAGGATTCAATTTGCGCATCAAAAATCTTCTTTTTTTTTAAGAGCAAATTCTTTGGTTCCACGCGTTCTGCGAGGTCTTAACTGCTGTAAATTGTCGCTATAAACTCAACCTTGAAAAATCTGTTGTCTATAAATTTGACTTAAATTTAAGTTTTGAGCTGCAGCTTTAGGCAAGATTCGCTCTCTCGCAGCCTCTCTCTCCCTCTCTGAACTGGAAACCTTTGCTCGTTGGCGGCGGCGTCTGCCTATCTTCTTTTATCTATTTTAACTGCGCGTTGTTAAAGCGCATTTTCGTGTCGTTTGTCGATTTGTAATGCCGAGCAACGATGATGGCAACTGGGATGCAGTTGGGATGCATTTCGGCCAGCACATCCAACCAACCAACCAACCACCTCGATCGGGCTAAGCTCTCTCGAAGCGGCTCGGATACTTTGAAGTTGCCTAAGTGGCGCCTGGAAGCCCGCTTGGTTCGTGGCGGGTTCAAAAGGCCGCCTTGGTTGGTGGTCAAACACATGGCTGACATGTTTCACTGGCTAATTAAATGCAGCCGAGCCTGACAGCTTGGACACTTTATGTTGGCTTTTATCGGGGCATGCCCCGGGCAGGTATCTCGCCAATGTCTATCTAAACAATAAACAAACGCATCTACTATTTATTATTATTATTATTATTAAATTGTGTGCGTACATGAGCAAATGCTTGAATGCAGTGTTATTAGCTTAATAGAAATTCAAATGCATGCACAGTCACAGAGATTAGAGCCAAGTCCCCCCTCTCTATCTCTCTCTCTTTCTGGCTCTATCTCTCCGTGGTCCCGCTTGGCTCTCTCTCTCTCTCTCTCTCTCTCTAACAGTTGTATGTCTGTCATAATTTTGTGCGATAGTGTCACCAGGCACAAGTGCGCAATGTGCTCGGCATCTGACAACCATGTGGCTGGGCTCGGGACAGGGCGTTTTGAGGGGGGAGGGTG